ATATAAAATGTCATCCAGGTTCATTTTCAGTTTAGTGGGAATAGAGAAACCTCGATGATAAAGTAGATCCAGTAAATATCATCATAACACAGTAAACTCATCCTCCTCTTTCCTCCTAAAGTTGTCTCATCTTGGTTTGAATTTTTGATCAGCTCCCGTTTCAGAGCTATTTAACTTAAATCTGGATGTGACTTCATTTGTTTTTGCATTTAACCCGCTGTTCTTCTTACTCAGTTCCTGGAAACAGCTTAATTTTTGATCAGCGTTTTGAGAACATGACGCATAGAAATAAAGAAATAAACTCTCGCAAACTAGATTACGATTCTGAATTAAGGGGATTGACGCCTTAAGAGTGAAAAGATTTCATCAGCCAGCTTTTGAGATGTAGTCCTCCTTAAGTGTTTCAGTTTAGTCATTTAGAAATAACTGACCCACCTTTCTTTTCTGAATGTTTTGCTTCTGACTAAGACAGAAGAACATGTGTTGAGAGGAAATATCTGAAGTGATGGATTAAACGTTAGCTTAAAGGGGAGAGACGGGGGCTTTTTGGCTAGTTCTCATGTAAATATGTGTTTTTTCCTGCTGCTTCCCTGAGTTTTTAATTGATTCTCTTCTCTTTGTTGTAAATAAAACTGCATATCCATGTTAAAAAAATGTGTTTGTGGAATCAAAAATGCATCAAATTAAATCTTCCAGTTGCTTAAAACTGGAATAAACTATCTTTAAAGAGAAACAACCTCCTGTTTTTGTTTTTTTGGGGGGGTATAAATTAAACCTAACTTGTAAGCCGTTAACTTTTTTTCTGTGCTTTTCTTTTTCCTCTGAAAAACTGTATGTTACTGTGCGTTTAAGCTGACACACATTAATAAGCACATACATAAATGAATAAATAAATAAAAAAATAAAAAAATACATGAATGAATGAGTAAATAAATAAATAGATAAATGAATGAATGAATGAATAAATGAATGAATGAATGAATGAGTGATTAAATAAATAAATAAATAAATAAATAAAT